TTAAAAGCCTTTAGGCTAATCCATTTGATTTTAGTTCTTGAAACTGGAGGGCCCCCGCATCCCACCCCGGGCCAGAGGGTTGGGCCTCCCTCTCATTGTTGGGCCTCTTGGGGGCTGAGGTATGCTGGCTGTAACCCTAGGCTAGTCCCTTAACTTCTCAGCTGCAGTATTCAGTCATATCGGACTCCTCCGTGACCCCCATTTGGGGTTTTCCTGGCAGAGACGCTGGAGTGGTTTATCATTGCCTTCTCCAGCTCATTTTACAGATGAGGAAACTGAGGCAGACAGGGTGAAGTGACTTGCCCAGGGTCACACAGGTCTGAGGTCAGATTTGAACTCACTCTGATCCTGAGTTCAGTCTGGTGCGCTAACCTAGCTGCCACTTAGCAGCCCTAACTTCTCAGCTACAGTTTCCTTATTTATAAAATGGGAATAATATTAGCACCTAATTCACAGGGTTGTGATAACATGTAAGCTGACCCTCCAAAGCCCTGGATAAGCACTGGCCATTATTACTGTATTCTCCCTAGTGCCTGGTAGAGGACCTTTTCCGTGTCAGGCATTCAGCAAATGTTTGTGGAATGGAGAGATTTTGGCTGAACGATGAGGCTCATCTTTTAACATTTCAGTAAGACAGTCTTCAAGATAGAGATTTGATTTGAGTTGATCAGCACAAAATGCTCAAATGCCTTTGATTGTCCAGCTGCAAATGTTTATGCATGTTCTCTGGAATTCACCAGGCCTTTGTTCACACCAGCTAATGTGTTCTAGAAATGGCAGCCTTGCATCCACTGCTAATGAAAATCTCTAGTCCATAAACCAGCTTAGCTCCCTCAGGACCCTGGAGCCATCCTGGTGACCACAGAGGAAAGGACTCTGGGATCCTCCCCAAGCCAGGAAAGGTCCTAGCAGAATGGGAGTCGCTGCAGCTTGGAGGCCAGGAGTCTTTGCCTGGAGAATCAGTCCCAAAGGGGAGTAATTAAGTGCTTAACCTTTGGAGAGCCACTTGAGGAAGGAGGGGCACCTAAGTATGTTAAGCCATGCCTAGCCAGCCCTCCCCCTCCCCCAAGGTGTCCCCCAGAGGAAGCCCTGGGCTTTGTCTCACACTCTGTCTTCTGGGCTGTTTGCTTTTCCCCAGTGGATTATAGATGGAGAGTGAGAGCTGGAATTTTGTTGTTTAGTAATTTCTGACTCTTACTGAGCCCATTTGGGGTTTTTTGGGCAAAGATACCGGAGTCGTTTGCCTTTTCCTTCTCCAGCTCATTTTACAGGTGAGGAAACTGAGGCAAACTGGGTTAAGTGACTTGCCCAGGGTCACACACTAGCAAGTGTCTGAGGCCAGATTTGAGCACAGGGAGTGAGTCTTCCTGACTCCAGACCCAGTGCTCTAACCACTGAAGCACCACCGGTCTGGCAGGGACCTTAGAAATCTTGTCATCCAACCCCCTCATTTTATCAGCAAGGAAACTTGAGACCCTGACAGGTCAGCCTGGAGTCATGCCAGGAGTAAGGGGAAGAACCGGGATTTGAGTCCAGGGCCTCTGGTCTCAGATGCAGCCTGCCTTTTTCTTTGTAACCTCTCCTGATGCTGAAGCCAATGCACCTTCCACCCTTTTGTGCTTTCTGGGGAAAGGTCTTCATGTTATATTATATCATATCATGTCATCTTATCTGTTTAGTTTAGCATTTTGTAAACAAAAAAAAATTGCCATATTTCCAAACTACTTTTGCCACTGTTTGTATTTCTCAGCATTCAGCATGATGCCTGGCACGTAGTAGGTGCTTAATAAATACCTGTTGATTGACTGGTTTATAAAATGTAAGGCTACTGGGTTCAGGGAGTAAGTGCCTGCTTATGGGAAGGGATGGAGGGAAGAAAGGGGAGAGGGCAGGCATGCACGGGCACTTCCTTTACTCCAGTCACTGTGCGAAACACTGGGAATACAGATATAAAACTGAGATGGCCCCCGCCCTCCAGGAGCTTCCCTCCCAGAAGGGAGCCGTGACCAGGAAAGGGGGTCCTGGGAAAGTGTCTGGATCCCTGGGGCAGACTCCACAGCAGTGGGAGTGTGGGTGTGGGGACAGAGCCCGAGGCAGAAGGGGCCAAGGGCTAGGCAATCACAGGCCTGGCAGCCTGATGGCCTGGGAAGCAAGGCGTGGGCCAGGGCTGGCTAGAGAGGATGGGCCAGCTATGTGTGTGGAGCTTTAAAATCTAAGTCAGTCAGTCAGCTGCCTGGTGAGCTCCTCCGTGCAGCCAAGTTGGTCTCTTCAGAGCACTCTCATTTTTTCTCCTTTGAAATGTTTCTCTTTCCCTCTTTAGAATTTCCTTCCTGGCAAGCTGCCCATCCTTTCTGGCCCTCTTTCCCCTGCAGAATTCTAATCCATTTAGAGGCCACAAGCTGGTGTAGTGGGGAGGGCCAGCCTCAAACACTTCCTAGCTGTGTGACCCTCAGGCGCAGAGGCACTTAAGGCAAGGCTGCCTCGGTTTCCTTAGCTATGAAAGAGGCGGTAAAAGTAACTTAGTTACTATGTTTTATATATAATGTTAATGTCATATAATAGCAACTTAGTTTCTTTAGCTAGTAATAGTGACAGTAATAGAGACGGTGATAGTAACTCCCAGGATTGTTGTGAGGAGCAAATGAGAGGATATGTGTAGAATGCCTGGCACATAGTAGGTGCTTCATAAATGCGTGCATCCTGCCATGGGGGCTCCTACATATTCCTCCTCTGAACCCCTTGCAATCAGTGCTCACCACATCTGAGTGCGTGTATTATAAGGCTCTAGGATGGCCAAAGGGGCCCGAATTCCTTATTAATGCAGGCTACAACCAGTCAAATTACAAATGCAGCTCACTCCCCTTTGCACGCCACCTGTAGCCAGTGAGGTCCTCGCCTGAAAGCCTGGAGGTCCCCATCCTCCCAAGCTCGTGGGCGCCTCTTGGGCAGGCACCAGGGAAAGATCTGTAAGTCTGGCTGAGCCATTGGAGACCTTACTCTGAGAACCCTCAGGGAGTCTCTAGGGGGACATAGCTGGTGCTGCTGCGTGACCTTCATCTATAGATGTGATACCTTATGGCAGAGAGGGGACCCTGACTTCTCGAAGGCTGGGGGAGGCCCTTCCAGCCAGGACAGCAGCCGTGCAGACCTCGTGGGCACTCCTTATCCTCTACACCTCCCCCCCCATGTCCAAGCTGGTGCCAGGGCCCGTCAACTTTACCTTTGTGACATCTCTCCAGTACACCCTCTTCTCTTTGCTGACACTTCCCCCACCCTCGTGCAGGCCCTCATCACCCCCACCTGGACTATTTCAGAGGTCTGCCAGCCTCGAGTCTCCCTCCATTCAGCCACCAAAGGGTTTTTCCTAAAGGGCAATGTCCTGCTCTCACTCAATAAACTCCAGTGGCTCCCTGTTGCCTCCAGGATCAAATACAAAAGGCTTGATTTGACATTCAGAGCCCTCCCTTTTTAGGCTTATTTCACCTCACTGCCCAACATGCCCTCCTCTTCAGTCCAGTGACGCTGGCCTCCGAGATGTGCCACAAACGGGACATTCCATCTCCTCACTCTAGGCATTTTCTGGCTGGGACACCCCCATTCCTGGAGTGCTCCCTCCCCCATACCTGGAGCCCCCCTCCAGCTCCCTTCCTCCTCTCTCCACCTCCCCTCCCCCATACCTGGAGCTCCCCTCCAGCTCCTTCCTCTCTCCACCTCCCCTCCCCCATATCTGGAGCCCCTCTCCAGCTCCCTCCCCTCCCCCATACCTGGAGCCCCCCTCCAGCTCCCTTCCTCCTTTCTCCACCTCCCCTCCACCTCTCTCCACCTCCCCTCCCCCATACCTGGAGCTCCCCTCCAGCTCCCTTCCCCCCTCCTCCACCGCCCCTCCCCCATACGTGGAGCTCCCCTCCACCTCCTTTCCCCCCATTTCTATCTCCTGGCCTCCCCCGCTTCCTTTGAGCCCCAGCCAGTTTTCCCCCTTCTAGAGGAAGCCTTCCTCAGCCCCTCTTAATTCCTTTTTTCCTTTTCATTTTTCCTGCCCATGACTTGTTTGTGTGCTGTTGTTTGCATGTTGTCTCCCCCATTACATGGTAAGCTCCCTGAGGGCAGGGACTGTCTTTTGCCTTTCTTTGGCTCCACAGTGCCTGGCACAGCTGGAGCTTAAGGGAAGCTTTTGGAAGCAGCAGGCCAGAGAGTCCTCCCTGCAGGTCAGGGCCTGCCCCCCAACCGGGCTATCTTTTGGCCTCTGTCACTGCCGAGGTGATAACAAAGACGCAGAGGGGTTAAGATCTGCCTTGGTGGAGGGATAGCCACATTGATGAAGTTACAGCCCATCCACATTAGTAATGGCTCAGCTGCTGCTTCCTGTAGCCATCCAGTTATCGCTGCCGGCTGCACAAGCTGCTTGTCTGCCCTGTGCCCTTTCAGGGATAGTTCTTGCAGTGACCTGTCTTTGTTCTGAAATTAATGAAGATGGGGAGCCAGAAGGGTGGGGATGGTGATGGGGCCTCCTGTTGCTGCTGCTTGGATAAACCTCATCCTCCGTGGGAAGCCAGCCACATCTGGAAATCACCTTCATGACCCAAAGGCTGCTCTTTGTGAACACATCTGGCCCATCCAAAGCAGAAGAGTGGATTTCCTTTCTGAAATCCAGTCTCAGCTCAAAAAAATCTACTTTCTTTGGCTAGAAATAAATGCTCCCAGAGGCTCCATGCTTACTGAGTTATTTCTGCCAGAAATGTGACAAGAGGACCCCTGCTGCGTTCATAGCACTAGCTCCAAAAAGGGCCCCCTCGAGGTCATTTTACAGATGAGGAAACTGAGGCTGGGGAAGTGAAGTGATTTGTACACAGCCCCACAGGTTGTCATCTGTCTCAGACTTCAGGTCCCCTCTGTGGTCTCTGTAAAGGTTTTGCCCTTTTGGTGGGTGGGGTGGCCTCACTGCTCCTGGTGTGAGAGGCTGCTTTGGCCTAGGCTGATTCCTAATCCCAATTGATTTGTAGATGCTGGGTGTGGCCTAGTCTGGGCCTGGCTCAGTGGGGAGCCCAGGACTGATAAGACTCCTCGTTGCCTAGCAACCACAGGTCTGCCATTGCCAGGAAGCCACCCTCTACATGCAGCTGGTCCAGGCTTCTGAATGTCTTCCGTTTCTGCCCTAGATCAGGTAAGACGTCTCCCCAGTCTTGGAACAGTTCTATCCAAAGCCAGAGGAGTGTCTAGTGCAATGGGATTCTGGGAAGATGCTTTGAAGGGGCGGGGCCCAAGAGACTGTTGTTTTTTTCAGATATTTTGCATTCCCCGGGCATGGTAGTCCCTTGTTATCCTGCTGACTAGGCTTTGGGCTGAAGTGGTCAGCAAATCCCAAGAAGGTGCAGCAGGTATCTCCTAGTCTCACATCCCAAGGTGGCCCCAGTGGGGGCCAGGCCTTCCCCTCCCATCGGCCTGTGTTTAAGGATAGTAGATGTGTGTGATTTAGGGGAGGCTTGTCATTGGAGGAGCTGAGAGACCTCCAAACAGTAAGGCGTTCTGGAGCTAGGTAAATGGAGTCACCAGGGCCCAGCAGGGCCTACCTCAGAGGCCACAGAGCTTGGCTTCCATTCCTTTCCATCCACTAGGGCCAGACACCCCCCCCCCCTTTTCCTCTTCTGAAGTGGCCAAGCTCTCTTCCCTAGAAGGCTTTCACAGCCAGGACCTCTTGGAGATCTCTACCACACCCAGAAAGGGGATGAAGCTTCCTGCCAAGGAGTACATCCAGAGGAACAGGAAGCAGCCTGTCCTAACAGAGTTGTAAAACCAGCTCTGAAGCCTTTGGGCTGGTCTCCCTGTGGCCCCCAGCAAGGCCTCGCTTTGGAGGATTGCTGGCTAGGGCAGTCACTGAAGCTTTCTTGGGCAGGCAGGCGGCTTCCTCTCACTTGTGGGAGCTCTGCCCCCCTCCTTCACCCCCCAATCTGCCTTTGGTAAGTTGGTGTTGTTTTATTTATTTTTTTTTGGTGGTGGTTTGGTTTGGTTTTTTTTAATCACTAAGAAGGTTGGAGGCAACAACAGCAGCCCCCGTAATTACAGAGTGCCTTTCCACCCATTTCTGAGTTTCAAAGACTCATCAGAGGCAACCTCACCCTGGGACTGAACGTTCACAGCCCACCTCAGAGAGTGAAGGGCTGACTTGACGCCTGTGATTCGGTCTGGGCTCCCTGTTTGCCCCTTATCCAGTGGCTTTTCCCCCGGTTTTTCTTGCCCTACCCCTCGAAGCTCGAGCCTTCCCATCATGTGTCCAGTGAATGATATGTGTTTGCTGTCCCAACTCCCCCTCCCAGTGACTCAGCACAAAGGGGGCCCTGGTTCCTTATCTGGCTGGCCATTAGTCATTTGCTCAGTTAGCAGCTAGAGTTCTTCTCATTATCCCCCAATGAGGCGGTAGAATCATTGTTTCTTTTTCTTTCTTTTAAACTTAATTTTTGTAGTTGGAGTTGTTTCCCTAAACATTTTTCTTCTCTGATAAACAGGGCAGTGTTACTCTTAGCAATATGCTAGGAGCCCTTGAGAGATCACTGGGGGGGACATACTATTAGTGTCCCCAAGTTTTTTGCTTTCTATTAACCAAAAGGGATTCCAGTCTCTACAGTCAGACTTTTGAAGATAGACCTCCTTAAAGTAGGCACATATCTTGTATAGGCCACATCTGATTTAAGGTGGAGACTTTTATAAAACAAGGATGGAGCCCAATTGGATTTCTAGCTTCAGCTACAACCTTTTACTTTCCTGCATTCTCTAAGGCAAGTCATTATGCCTCAGTTTCCCCCTCTGTAAATGAGGAGCTTGGACGAGGTGGCTTCTGAGGGCCCTTCCAGCTCTAATGAGATATTTGTAAAAAGCAAAAATAAATCTCTGGCAGATGGAAAGCAGGACATAAATGTGTGTTCCTAAGCCTGGATCAAGGGTGGGGAAGCTGCAGTCAAAAGGCTTAAGGTCCTAAAAGGCCCCATGTGGTCTCAAGGCTGAAGGTTCCCCACTCCTGCTCTGGACTCCCACTCCATGAGCCCGCAGGAATCAAGGACAACCTTGAACAGGCATCTTGGGGCCTCAGCGTCAACCTCTCATTTCCTGAGGCTTCACACCTGATCCATCCCACTTTGTGTCTCCTCCTCCTGCTCAGCTGTGGCAGAAGCCCCGTATTTTGAGGCACCTCATGAGAGGAAAGGGGAAGATCAGGGAGCTGAATAGGGTCACTTTCCCAAATATTCCAGTTCTCTGTGGTCTGAGGGCTTCAGGGAGACCTGATCGCTGACAAGCTTTGCCCCAGTGGGCCTTCGAGAAACCAGTTTTTCCTCTGACTAGCTAAATGGGGTGTAATCAGTTAATATCTAACTTTCATTGTGTCTGATTGTCACCCTTGGCATCTTGGAGGAAAATGCCAGGATTTTTTTCCTCTGAGCACTCATTTGGAGGCGGCTCTGAAGTGTGACGTCTGCAATTCTAAGAATTTCTTTTAAAAGCCACAGTTTGGTAAGTAAATAGGGCACTGGTCCGGACTCACCAGCATAGTCTGGCCTTGGGGAAGCAATAATCAGTTGTATGGGGTTTGGCTGAGGAGGCAACAGCTTTTCCTGGTAGATCTTGTTACCAACTGGGCCGATGCTAACACCAGTCTCTCCAGGGCAGTTGAATGAGGTCAAAGTTGTCCAGCCCTTTGAAAGCCTTGGGGCTCTAGAGAAGTTTGAGCCATTGTTAGGATGTTCTGGTGACCCATCCTACCTGAGAGAAGAGGTCTGTGGCCTGGTCTGGACCTCTAGAAACTACATTGGACACTCTCAGGCCCATAGCTGCCACACGTGCACATACAGCTCCCTTATGGGAATGGTTAGCCTTGGGGTTCTTTCCTTTCTCATTTTCTTTGAGATTTTGGCACTAACTGAAATCCATCATGGGGCACTTAGCGCCTGGGGCAGCCTGACTTCAGACCCTCTGGAAGTGCCGTTCTTTCTCTTCCCCTTTGTCCTCCTTTGGGATCTATTTGTCCCCGGGGGCAGCCTCAACTAGATGTCACCTCTTTGGGAATGAATCCCTCTGCCTGGGGAGGCTTCTGAGGATGGGTTTGGGGAAGTCATTGTTGGGCACACTGGACAGCCCAGAGAAGGAGGAGAAACCGAGTTATTGTTCTGACTGCTGGGGATTTGACTGAGGACCCTCATTGCACCTTTAGGAAAGCTTCTGTCTTGGATGCTTCCCTCTGACCCAGAGAGGCTGGAGTGAGTAATGGGAGGTGTCAGCTGACGAGGCTGTCTGTCCTTTTTAGGTCCCACAGCCAGAGTGTTGCATGGAAGTGATGGATGTCAACGTTAGCTGCCCAGGCACAGACCAGTGTGCTTCAGGTAAAGCAAAGAGCTCAGGCTGCCAGGGCCCCCACAAGAAGACCCAAGGCTCAGGGCGAGCATGGCATTCTTCTTTCCAAGGTAGTGGCTAAGTGGGACTGGCCCCTTTGGCAAGTGGGAGTAGTAAGAGTCCATGTCATGCCCTTCGATCCCCCAATATCCAAATCCAGGGCCAGCTGGGAAACACCAAGCCCTGCCCCTCCAGGCTACTCACAGACCTGGCACGTAGTATGATGGACTTCCATGGAGCTTCATCTATCCCCTTATCCCGGGGAGCACCCCTCGAGGGTCCTGGAGCCATCCATCAGCTATAGAATTGCTGTGTAGGCCCCATTTCATGTGAAGATGTGTGAAGTGAGCTGAACTCTGACAGCAAGTGTAAATTATAGATCTAGACGAGGCTCATGGCCAAAGAGCCCCTCGCAGCTCCAGCAACAGAAAGGGGAATTCTGAATTTACTCATGTAATGTATGATATCCTATGACCAAAGCAATCGTCAGCCCTCACTCCTGGTGTCCTCCAATCCCACTGGATGGGCCCTCAATGCTCAAGCCCCTCTTTTACCAACTCTCCCCAATGTCAGCTGCCAGGGGAAAAACTTATAATGACCAGAAGACCCCTTGGGAGAAGGAGGCGGAAGCCATTACATAAAGCTGTTGGAGGGCCCATGTTACACACACACACACACACACACACACACATGCACCCAAAGCCTCCACCACTGAGGTAGACTCCAGGTTCTTGGGCTGAGGTGACTGAGTCCTGTGCCCTGGAAATCCCTGGGAAGCCTGTCTGTCCTTCGGTGTGGTTAGCAGCAGCTTTGAGCATCAATTACCTGGGACAAATGGGGGGGAGGGGGCTTCCTGTCCTGCAGAAGAGGCATCTGTGGCACTCTGAGTGGTGTTTGAAGTGCTCAGCTGTAGACATGCCTGGCCCTTAGAATGGGCCGGTTTGTGTTGAGATGAAATGTCAGGTGTGATTTACTGGGGAGAGCACAAAGGGGGCTGCCTTCCTTCCCCAGATGAGCAAAAGGCCCTTGGCATTCATTAGCGGCCAATATTTCTGGAGCCCCATACAGGGCATTCTTTTCACTCTAAGAGAGCCGGCAGCTAGAGGGCGTGGGCCTGGCCTTCAAAGAGTTTGTGATCTAGAATGGAAGACAGGTTATACCTGAGAAAAGATGAATAGCTAACCCACGGTGGTGTATTTTAGGGCCAAATGAATGATTTCTGGGGCTGTAGTCAATTAGAGAAGAGGGTGTGATCATCAGGGCCTGGGGCAGTAGAGAAAGGCCCCAAGCACCCAGGGGAACCTTGAAGGAAGTACCTGAGGAGAGTGGAGCCCTGATGAGGCCCAGGAAGGGGGGATGTTGTACACCCAGGGAGCAGTGCAAAGACCAGTGTGTCTGGGTAGAATTGTCAGTGAGAGGTGGCAGAGGGAAGGAGGTGATGGGCCGTGGAGGCCTTGGCCCTTGGACCACAAGCAGTGGGGAGCCCAGGTGGGGCTGGGAGCAAATGGGATGGTGGGGGAAGTTCTGGCTGCAGCACGGCCTGACAGTGGGGAGAGCGAGAATTGGGGCATGAGGCGGCAAGGGGTAAGGCTTGGTTCACAGATGGGGTAGCAGCCCAGGCTGATGGATCGAGTGCTGGGGTTGGAGACCTGGGTTCAAATGTATTCTCTGACATTTATTAGCTCTGTGTCCATCCACTCCTAACCTCTCTGAGCAATAGATCTAGTTGTACCTGTGGCCCCCACCTCATAGGGTATTTGCAAGGCTCAAGTGAGACCATGTGAAAGTCTTTGCAAACTTCCAAGTGCCATCTTAGGTCCAACCAACACCTATACAAGGAGGGGCGATGGAGGGTCACCGGTGCAAAAGATGTCAAGGGAATGGAGGCTGGAAAAAAAGATGGTGTTCACCCAGGGGAGGACAACCCGAGGCTGGCAGTGAGGAGGGCCTCCAGCATGCTGGGGAGATCCCTTGGGCCCAGTGTAGGGGAGGACATGGAGAAAAGTCCCACAGAACCGACAGCTGTTATCAGCATTGTTGGAGGGAACTCCTGAATCAAGAAGATCCCAGCCCCTTTTTGAGACACTTTGAGAATCTGTCTGTGGAAATTGTCAGGAAGGGAGAGCTTTAGTGTACATTACAGAGGAGGCACCCACGGGCCTTGGGGGCTGTTTCATGGGAGGATGTGGGACCCAGTGCGATTTTGGGATTCTGGGCCTCAGAAGAATGCAGAGAACCTGCATCCTGGCTTGGATCAGGGTCACATGAAGTTTGAGGATTTTGACCTCAGAGACTTTTTGGTCTCCCAAGTTGAAGTGAGAACTGTTAGCCAAATTAGAGGAGAACCAATCAGGGCCTGGCTGGCCCTTCATCCCTAGGCCCACTCCTGCCAAGCGCTGGAGCACACACACAGAGACACATGTGCGCACGCGCGCACACACACACACACACACACACACACACACACACACACACACAGCCCTTTCAGGTTTTCCATTTGACCAAACGAGGAAGTCATTCCTTCCAACCTTCAGCGGGACATCCCAAAATAATTTGGAAGCTAATTAAGTTCAAGTGACGAAAATAGCATCCCGAAGGGAATCCCGGCCCTCTCACTTGCTCATGGGCCCTTCCTCCCTTCGCCCTGCCCAGGCTGCTACCGGCACTGGAATGAGGATGGGACCAGCAGCTGCATTCGGTGCAGAAATGAAAGCCTTCCCATTACCGGGCCTTACGTGATGGAGTGTAGAAACCGTGAGTCTCTTCCCCGTGGGCTTTGGCCTGGTGGGTGTGTTTGGTTCAGTTATGGGGGCGCTGCAAAGGACATTTCCCTCACTGGCAGGGGGAGGCCACAGCCCCAGGAGGGTGAGCTCCCATGATGCTTTTGAGGACCCTCCCCACCACCATCTCTGGGCTGCAGGTCTCACACTGGCCAGCAGAGGGTGATCATGGACCTCACCTTTCTTCCCTTACCAACAAGTTGGAGTCCATTCAGCTATCTTCCTGTAGAAATCGGGTGTCACCCAGTCGCCATGAAGGTGTCTGGTTCCCTTCCAACTGTCTTCCTAAAAGCTCCCTCCCCAACGGTGACAATGCATCCCTCCCGGCCTCGGTCTTCCTTAAAGAAACTGGCTCATTGTCTTCCTCTGAGACCCCAGAATACTCCTAGCTCCTTGCTCCTCAGTGACAGAAATGAAACCCACCCTGCCTCCTGGCCTCATTATCCCCGTCCTTCCATAGCAGTATGCTGTGAAAGCCACCATGTACCAGGCGAGAGCCTATTTTACAAAATAATGAGGCTGACGGACATTTTTTTTTCACCCTTAGTTGGCAACAAAGAAATTAATTTCACATCCTACAGAACTACAGTGGCACCCCTTCTCCAGAACCTGGGTAAGTCATTCTGCTCGTTTGAGCAGAGAGATTTGTTAGGAAGCTGCTGCCCCAAGAGGGTGCCCTTCCCCGTCCCAGAGCCTGCCACAGAGGTCCCCTGAGCAGGGGTCTGCCGTCAGCTGTGTGTCCTTTTGTGATCACTTACACTCCTCCCAACTAAGTCTTCAGATGGCAGATCCCACAAACAGAAGAAGAATTCCAAACCCCAGCCAGATCGGGGCATTTCCCACCAACAAGAAGACTTAGTTTCTAGGCATTAGTTGGTGTGGGAGCTGATTAAAGATGTCAGGTTTCGATTTGGGGGTGGAAGGCACAATTTCATGGCAGATCCTCTGGGCTGGGCCCTTCCCTCTGCCCCGCCCCCTCCCCACTAGCCTGTGGCCAACTTCCTTCTGTGAAATTACTAATTAATTGAAGCCCTGCTATCTACAAATTCCCCTGTTTCTGTCAAAGCCAGTGGAGTTTCCTTCATTCACCCCTTCCATTCCACAGTGGCAATGTCTCAGGGCCAATGCCAGCCCAGGCACAGAAGGAAGAATCCCTGCAGGGCTCAGATTCACTCTTCTCTCCAGTTTCCCAAAAAATAGAAGCTTCAGCCTGGGATTGTTTGCAAAGAGCAATGAGGGGAAGGGGCTGCCCACCGTAACTGTCCAGCCAGGTCCCCAGGGTGAAGGCTGCTCATTAGAGCAATCGAGCTTTCTCATTGGGATAGTCATTGAAAGCAAGTGAGCTAACAAGGCAGGCCACCCTGCCCCTGTGACTGCCCCTGCCCCAGGCCTTAATCAAGATATACACGACAAGGCCCAGCCCTCTAGAGTCCCAAACTGCTGCAGCCACTCGGCCGTCAATCGAGGCAACCCCACTAAACCTTCGAGAGGCGTGGACATCGGGCCCAGGAGCCTTCTGGCCATTCCTTTTGGTGAAAACTGCGGGGTGTCCTGACGTGTGATGAGACCTAGAAGCCCAGGCTGGTTTTCTGATTTGCAACCCAGTCTTTCCTCCCTGGAGTGATGGGCACTGGGGAAGTTGACAGGCAGGTGACGTCCAGCAGGTGTCCTGGTTTGGTTCTGGGAAAGGCCAGGTCTCCGCACCAGTCTCTCGAGGACGGTTGGAGTTGGGCTTGTCTTCTCCCATCCAGAAGTGGGCCGAGGCATGCCCACACAGGGGTCCCTACGTCCGGGTCGCCTCCTGGCAGCATCAGACCAAAGCGACCACCATGAAATCGAGCACGCCAGTGCTGATCCCCAGCAGAGGCATGAGCAATTTCAGGGCTGGGTTTGGGTTTGAAAAGCATGCGGTTAAAAAAGAAATGCCTGGCTATTTGAATCAGCTCCTACAAATATCCTGGAGCCACCACATGCCACCCGCAGCTCATGCCCAGTAACACAGATAGTCAGAAACAGAAAATTAAATAGAGCCCACACAACTCTGGTTAGAGAGATGTCGCTTTCCATGTATGGCAAAAACCCGAGCCCAGGCGCATTTGCCTTTCTCCTTGGGATTTTGTCATTTCCCCAGCCTCTAAAAATAACCTGAGCATCACTGTGTGATTCCATCCTCACTTATAAACTCACCTCCCGAGGCAAGCACATAAAAAAGCCACAGGCCCCATCATTCCCTGATAGTCCCATTAACTTTCTGGAACCCTCCTCTGTCTTGCTAGGATTTTTCTATTTGACTAGTCACTAGTTAAAGATTGAACACGTCCTCCCTCCCTCCCTCCCTCCCCCCCTCTCTCTCTCTCTCTCTCTCTCTCTCTCTCTCTCTCTCTCTCTCTCTCTCTCTCTCTCTCCCCTCTCTCTCTTTCTCTCTCCCCCTTCTCTCTCTCCTCCTTCTCTCTCTCCATCCTCTGTCTCTCTCTCTCTCTCTCTCTCTCTCTCTCTCTCTCTCTCTCTCTCTCTCTCTCTCTCCCTCTATCTGTCTCTCTCCCCCTCTCTCCTTTTCTCTCTCTTTTTCTCTCCCTCTCCCTCTCCCTCTCCTCTATCTCCTCTCTCTCTTTCCTCCTTGCCCTAGTTCAGGAAGAAAGTTCTTGCCCCAACCCAGCCATAAGAGCCATAGGGCTCCTAAGTATTTCTCAGCCACGCAGCATGGAGTGATAAGTCTGGCAGGTTAATGAGAGGCGTGGCCCTAATCCCAGCTTTCCTACTTCACCCTTGGCACCGTACCCAGAGTGACCTCCTTGGTGGGGAGGATGAGGGCATCTCCTCCTCCCACAAGAGCCTCCTAAAGGCCCCAGATGGTGCTCAACCCATGTGACATCCTTATCTGGGCCAGGGACTCATGGGCAGCTTTGTGACAGGAGGTTCATCAACTCTGAGGGCCTGGTGCCCTGGCCATCGGCAGAGAGCAGAGCAGAGATGGTAGGGAGATGCTCCCCCATAACCACCCATCTGCTTTGGATTCCAGGGGGCCCCCAGGTGGCCGTCTCCCTCTTCTTGGGCACCTTCTTCATTAGCTCCTGCCTCATCCTCTCCGTCGCTTTGTTCTTCTACTTCAAACGCTCCAGTAAGCTCCCCCATTTCTTCTACAGAAGGAACAAAGGTACCTCCGTCTTGCCCCTTTGCTTACTGCTTGGCTGAAGCCCTGGGCCTCCTCTTCACTCTAGGAGGTGCCATCTGGGTCACCCCAGCATGCCCCAGCTCCCAGGAAGGGCCTGCTTTAGGGAAGCCAGTGGGAGGAGGTGGGCCCATTCGAGGAGACCAGACACTGCCCCGGCATGGGCCAGGAGACTTCTTAGCTAATGGAAAGAGCTTGGCCTTTTGTTCTTATGTGCATGCATTCTGGAGAGCCGGAACCAAGCTGATTGGGTGTGGTGGGGTTTGGAGTTAGCTCAGATCTCACCTCTGATGGAGCTGTGTGACCCTGGGCAAGTTGGGTGACCTCTCTGAGCCCCATTCTCCTCATCTGAGAAATGGGAATGATGACACTGACACAACCAGCCTCAGAAAATCGGATGGTCTCTAGGGAAAAGTGATTTTTGTCCCTTGCTCCCGGTCTCTGCGGGGCTCTGTGGTGGAGCAGGAAGGCTGCATTGTCTCTTGTCTTCAAATGAGGGCCACCCACAGACATTAAGAAGGGAGAGGAAGGATGACGTGATGGGAAGGGACAGGAGAGCCCCCCTGGGCGCCAGGACTGGGGCACTCAGCGGGCCGCCCAGCGCAGCACATTGAAGCTTTCTTTGCCGCCCACTCACAACCCTGGGAGACGGTTAAGGATTTAACAGAACTGAGACCATCTGTGTTGGAGAAATGGAAGAGGCGGGTGGAGCACATGAGAACATCAGGGCAAGAAATTTGGCTCAAGGTTTCCCTGACAAGGTAAAAACAAGAGTGCCGTTGGGTTACATCCTTTCCATTTTCTGACAGCAGAGACCTTCCAGACTCATCTGCAAGGACCCACAGGGATTGAATATGTGCATCTTTGGTCAGGAGGCGAATTTGGTGAGGGAAGACCTGGGTTCAGATCCTATGGCTGTGCCACTGGCTCTGCGTTACCTTAGGCAAGTCATCCACTCTCTGTGCCTCAGTTTCCTTATCTGGAAAGTGCCGCTCCAAATCTGTGACCCCCTTGCCTTGAGACTGATGACAGAAGAGTGTTGCCCCAGTGGCCCATGTTCGGGGACCCTATGGCATGTGACAGCAGCCTGGACGAAGGCCCTTATGATGTACTCTTGACAGCCACCACCCTGTGCACTGTTACGCACACCACTCCCTGCGTTCTATCACTGGTGGGACAGCCAGGCCGAGGGTGCTGCCTGCCTCTGGGGGTTTCCCCTGACTCTTTGCCTTTTGGACGCTCTGCCTTAGAGTGTGGGGACAGGGGCAGGCCGGAAGCACCAACATTCAGTCCTTTTTTGGGGGAGGAGGGGCCTGTCTTTAATTTCATCCTGTTGCTATCTCTGAGCCCCAAAGGATGGTTTCTGAGGCACTGCTCAAGCACTTTCCACCTTACCATGGAATCAGTGGTGCTGATTGGATAGCCTGGTGGATGGTCCTGCCTCAGACAATAGCCCTGTGGCCTTAGACAAGCCATTTGTCTTCCTTTTCCTCTGCTGTAAAATGTGGGGGCTGGGCTTGCTGACCTCCCACAGTGGAGCTGTGACCCTTTTATCCCGTGAGCCCTCCCCCCATCATTTTACAGAAGGGGAGCAGGCTCTTTCAGCCCTGGGAGTCAGTGGAGCTGGTGCTAAGATCCCGAGATAGGCTGCTGTTTGCTGCCCAGGGAATTTTTGGTCAGCCGGTGCCTTACCCTTCCCCTCCATGACCCCCAGGCCCCCTCCTGATCTTCTGGGGGCCCAAGAGCCAGGACCGCCTTCCCATGCCAAAGGAACCTTCCTGGACCTCAAGGCGTCAGCCTGGCCTCTGCCTGCTTTCCTCATTGGGTGCGTCCTTTCCTACTGGTGGCATCGTAGCTGTGGCACGGAGCTCCTCACCTGCCCAGCTTGGCCAAGAATGCCCAGGGCTGCTCCTGGCAGTGCTTGCCTGTGCCTGCTATGGCCTATCAGAAGCGGCAGAGTGGAGGGGGACTTGGCCACCAGACCAGAAGCTCAGTTTGGGCTGGGGCCAGCTTCTCTCCCCTCCATGTGGCCGCCTCGAAGAAGGGGAGGGCAAGATGGGAAAGAAAGGCCTTGGCTGTGGTTTCTAGGGGCATGATGAGCTAACTGAAGATCCAGTCCAGGGCGGTGCCTTTTGTCTGGGTGACCAGCCCAGAGAAGGTGGCTGGCCCAAGGCCCTTTCCTGCTGCACCAATTCCCATGTCACTCAGAAAAGAAAACCTGATTTACCTGAGGCAGCAGAGAGTGGATCACGGCTTGCATCTTTGTTTGCTTTGGGTTTTTCCTAATGTCAGAATAAATTGGAAAGAGTATAGACTGCCAGCTTCTCTCTCCTTTGAAAGTCAGTAAGCGGGCGGAGGGCAGCTGGCATGGCAGGCCCAGAGGGTGTAGAGAGGTTGCAGGGCTGGGGGGTGGGGTTCCTGACTTGAGGAAATGCTCTTCACTATAGGGCAGACCAGCTGGGAACAAAGAGTAGGAATCAGGGGAGGCTTCATGGAAGAGGCAGCCCTGGCCTTGGCATCTCAGTGAGATGTCAGGAGGTGGAAATGGGCAGGGAAGGACCACCAATGCCACCAGGAGGGGATGAGATACCTTCATTTGCTCATCGAAGCCCTAACTGGAGGCACACAGAGTGGCCATGTGGGAAAACTGCAGGGTCCTCTCTGTAGTTTGGTCAGGATGTCAAAAGTCGTCTTATCCAGCCCAGGGGGAAGGGACTTGTCCAAGGTCACACAGATAGGAGTGGCAGAGCTGGGATCCGAATCTAGGTCCTCAGGGTGCTCAGATGTTAGTCTGGCTGGGTCCATGATGCTAGCCCTGGGTCCGGCCTCCACCCATGTCCTCTCTCTGTGTAATGGTGTGTTTTCTTTTCCCCTTAGCGTCTGTCCTACAGCCTGGAGAAACTGTAAGTAATACTCCCTCCCCAGAACACCCCTGACAAAGGGGATCCTCTTCCCCTTTTAGCTGGGTTCTCCCACAGAGCTGGGCTGTTGGAAATGTGATGTATTCACTTTCTCCTTTTTCCCTCCCAAAGGCTGCCATGATACCGCCTCCAAATTCTTCGGGTAAGTTTGATTTCCACAATGGAACCATTTTTATGTCCAGTAATTTGTTCCTGTAAATGTTCCTTCCATTTGCAAATCGAGGCCTCTAGAACACGTTAAGGAGCCCAGGTCATATGTCCTATGTAGGTCTGGACCCTGAGGACAAGGGCCCCCATCTATGAAGCAACACAATGATGGGTTCTGGGTCACACTTGAACACAGTGCCAATGAATTTCCCTAAAAGGGGAGGGGCTGGCTTTGAGAGGTTCTGGGTTCAAATTCTGCCTCAGCCCCAGGTTCTGTGCTTCCAACCTGATCCCTTCCCCTTGCTAGGCCTCATTTCCTCATCTGTAAAATGAGGGGATGGGATTCGCTGGCCGGGGAGGCAGCTGATTCTCTGATCCCTGACCACGGGGACCACCTTCATTCAATTTAGTGAGGATCTCTTAAGTGTCCCTTTGGGCAAGGCCCAAAAGTGGTTAAAAAGGTGCTGCCCACAGGGAGCTTGCACTCCACCCTTCCTCCAGTGTGGGCCCAGTTTTGTTGCCAAATATGAGGGAAAGTTTTTTTGCCTCGAGGTAGGGGCTTGTCAGCCCCCTTTTGGACCCCACCCAAGAACCAAGCCCTCAGATAAAGGGCCCTGCTCTTTTCTGGACTGTCTGAGAGGTGTCCAGATTAGTGGGTCATTCAGTCTCCCTCAGCTCTGCAAACATCTAGTCAGGCCCGCTCTGTGTGAGGTACTGGTCCCAGACCTGGGGCCAGAGATGGAAGAAGGGCAGAGGCCAGAGGATGGGAGGTCTGCCCTGGGGGGAGGGGCACGTCCTGCACCCTGCAGGATGTTAATCAGGTGGAGAGGCAGGTTATCCTAGGCCTGGGTAACTGCCTGTGGGTAGTGCACTGATGGAGAAACAGCGTGCCATAGATGGGAACAACCTGGTGTCCGGTTGGACGGGAAAATAAAGCCAGTCACCATTTGGTCTTTTAAAACCCAGAGGAGCTTTGAGCCTTTGTTATAGGAAAAGCCTCTCAAGTTGACGTTAGCCCATCTTTGTAGACTTGAGTTTTACAGCACTCTTCTTTATACGCATGCTTGCTCCTCGCTAACTGCCCCCCTCCCTTCCCGTATCTACACGTGGAGTCCCAGCTGGCCTTTTTCAAGGCTCAGCTCACACAAGTCTCCCCCAAGTTCTTGCTTCGTGCCCACCTGCCCCCAAAAGTGCATGGACTTTAGCTTGATATGTTGTCCCCTTCAGTCAAATGTAACTCCTTGAGAGGAGGGGTTGTAACCTCAGTGCAATGGCAGGCACACAGTAAGTCCTCACAAACCACTCATTCTACAAAGCAGACCTTCGGGGGAATGAGTTGTGTGGTGTGCTTTAGGACCAGGAAGGAGCTGCAGCCTTCCCAGGTCTCCCTTTTATTCCAATCCTTTCTTTCCTTCTTCCCCTTTTCTCTTCTTTTTTTTTTTATTTTGCTTTTTGGCTAGGCAATGGGGTTAAGTGACTTGCCCAGGGTCACACAGCTAGTAAGTGTCAAGTGTCTGAGGCCAGATTTGAACTCAGGTCCTCCTGACTCCAGGGCCAGAGCTCTATCCACTGCGCCACCTAGCTGCCCCGCCCTTTTCTCTTCTTGGCTTCCCTCTCTTCTTCCCTTCCCTTTTATCCTTCTCTTCCTCCCTCCCTTCTTCTGACCTTCCTTGTCTTCTCCTCCTCTTGTCCTCCCGCTCTCTCTTTCTTTCCTTCCCTCTTAACCTCCTTCATCCCTTCATCACCCCCTTCCTCAATCCCTGTCTTCCTTCCCTTCCCATCATCCTTCCCTTCCTACTCCTCAAAATGTCTGTGCAAAGCTGAGGTCCAGAACGTCCCTGGCTGTCACCAGGCTTGGGTGCTGCTGGTAGGATCGTCCTTAGTATAACCCCAGTTTTATGATATCTGTTTCAGTCCGGAAGCCACGCTATGTCCGACGGGATCGGTCACTGCCAAGACCCACCACACCCACCATGATCTCCTCCGTCGAGACTCGGGTCAGCAACGTCTAACCATCAAGGGGTTTGCCCCAGAACTTTGTCCATGAACAATTGCAGAGACGTCTCTGTGCCCGCTGAAGGGCCAGGAAAAGCTATACGCGGAAGCTGAGGCTCCTGCGGGCCCGAGTCCTGTGTCAAACGGGTCTGAGCCAAATCGAGCACAAAAGAGACAGCAGGAGACGGAGGTGGCGACTGTGGCGAGAAGGAGCCTTGTGACCTCATTGGTGCGCCTTTTAGATCTTCCTCTCATCTGGGTTTTTGATCTGTCTCTTAGCAACAGATATCCTGTTAAAAAGCTACAGACAGCTTAGCTTGCCTTGACAAGAAAGTCATTTCCTCCCATCTCCAGGATGGAACAGGTGCCATGAGGGCCCCTTGCCTATTCTGAGGAGTGGTCAGCCTGGCTCCAAGAAAAGGGGTTGAATCTTACACCGCACCAGCTCCTCAGAGCAGGCCATTTGGGAAGACCCTCCCCTACGCAAGTCCAGAGTTTACCAATACACTTTTTGGGGGTCTTTGGCATCTTCTCTGTGTAGATGCCCCAGCCAGCCCATCCTTGTTAGGTAGGGTAGCTGTGCATTTCCTGCTCCCCTAAGCCAGAGAAAGTGGGACCCATTGGCCCTTCAGGGAAGGTTTTTCCTTTGCCCCCCCCTCCCCCCGGCCAATCCTGCTCTAGGCAGGCCGCTGTCTGGCTTGCTCCTGAGGTGGGCCTTCTATCTGCTGCAGCAAAGCACAAGCTCACGGAGCACTGACCCTGCTGTCTGGTCCACAGACGGCGTCCTGTTTGCAATGCAGACCTGAAATAGCTGCATTCTGTTTTGCTTCCAGATGAGGCCGCCTAGATACCACCTTATCTCCCATCAGCTGCCAGCCAGGGCTCAGGCTTGTTGGTTCTTCAGGAGGGTGAAGAAGCCAGACCCAGTGCCCCTTTTGATTTAATTTTGGCTTGGGGGGCAGCTAGATGGCGCAGTGGACAGAACACTGGCCCCGAAGTCAGGAGGACCTGAGTTCAAATCTGGCCTCAGACCAAACACTTGACACTTACTAGCTGTGTGACCCTGGGCAAGTCACTTAACCCCAATTGCCTAAAAAGAAAGAGAAAAAAAAGGTAGCTCATTAATTTTGGCTTAGAATGCGCATTTGACTAGGCAGAATGACCCTTAGCCCAGCCCTCCCCAGTCCAAGATGGGGTCTGGCCACATAACAGCATCTGGGCCACAGAGAAAGGTCAAGGGAAGAGGGAAAAAGAGGCGCTTTCCACTAACAGCCTCCTAACAAGCAGTGGCATGTACCTGGACATGATTTGAATTAGCAGCCGTACCAAGAAGCCCCCAGGAAGAAGCCAACACCCAGGCCTCTCCCTGCCAGGTGGTATAGAAGCTGAGAGGGAGCAGGTGGCCAGCCAGGGCTCCTAAGAGGCCTTGAAGGGAAAAGCAGCTTCCTGCTCCAACCTGGGGGAGGGGAGGCAGCCAGCTATTTAGGGACCCCTGTAGTTCAAAGAATAGACGTATTGTAGCAACATTGCTCCTAAGATGGTTTTTGTAAAAACCGATCTGAGTTTCCATCTTTAGTTCCTTTTGTAAATGGGATCTGTATTCCCCGTGAAGACAGAGCACACAATCAGTGCTATCAGAATCCTTTGAGAATCTTTGTCCAAGCAGAGGGCAAGGAGTAGCTGGGGTTCCCCCATCCCCACTCTCTTCCTTTGCTGCCATCTTCCCAGCTCAGTTGGGGCCCCAATTCCCCCTGGTTACACCATGAGCATTTTGTTCTTCTCCCATTTATAGTGACTGATAGAGCTGACCACTGAGCTGGGAACCCCTTGCTTTTAGAGAAAGAATCTGAGGCACAGGGGGTCTGACTTAATCCACGCTCGCCAGGCTGATCAGCGGCAAGGTCAGGACTTGAACTGTAATGTGTGCCACACCTAAATGCGCTAGCTCTTCCAACAAGGACCAGATAGAGGTTGCTTCCAGCCCGAAGGAGATTCACAGAGCCTTGCATAGAGAGTGAGACCAGGCCATAAGTGACTTTGAGCCAATGAGCACAGAGGAGAATCCCTTCACAGAGCTACGGTCTTGTCGTTTTTGGTCCCATGTTTGTGGAGTGGGGTCTGATGGCTAGATGGAGGGTCCCCACCATCGCCAGAAAGCATGAGGACAGGGGCAGCTAGGTGGTGCAGTGGATAGAGCACCAGCCCTGGATTCAGGGGGACCTGAGTTCAAATGTGGCCTCAGACACATAGCACTTACCAACTGTGTGACCCTGGTAGGTTACTTAACCCCATTGCCTAGCCAAAAAAAGAAAGCATGAAGACATGACCTATGCAACCTGTATCAATGCTGAGATTGCCTGGGTTACTGCTGGGGTTGTAAATAACTGCCAATATTGCCAGTGTCTAAAACTCCCCCCCAACAGTGTTCCTCTGGCCACCACTGCCACGGCCCTGGTCCAGGTCCTACACACCATATTAGGAGGGGAGGCACCAGGGTTGTAAGGTCATGCCCAAGATCTTTGCCCCTCGCTCACCTCCCCAAGCAGCTGGCTGATACCTGGGCAGTTCTAATCCCATGGGCCCCTGTGCCCTTTGGCCACCGGAGGCTTCATCCTTGTCCCTTTGTGCCGTAATGCTCAACATGATGTTTTGTACCTTTTTCTATTGCCAACTTTAATAAATGCTCATTTCCTGAAAGATGAGCTCAGCAGGATGATCCAGGAGCCGAAGATGGATGTATCGTTCTTGTCTTCCCTTTCAACTATGGGGAAAGAAAGCCCTCTTGTGAGCTCCCTTCCTCCTGCCCCTGGGGTGTTTTGCACATCTCTTCTATTTCTGAATAGAAGATGAAACGGTCAGAAGCTGAATGGATGCCATCCTGCAGCCCAGCCCCAGGCATCCACTTCAGGCCCCGAGCTTCAGAAGTGCAGAGAGATCCGAGCTTCAGAAGTGCAGAGAGATCCGTGAGGCTGTTAGCAAGTGGGGTGGCTTGTCATGGCAGCCCCAGAGCAGCTGGGGGCAGGGGAGCTGCATCCTCTCCTAGCTGCTTGGGAGACAAGGACAGAGGGCTGAATCCCCTCCCAGGACCTCAGTGGAACAGGGGAAGGGGGGCACATAGGGGACTAAGTGATAAGATTGAAAGCTGGAAAGGGCCTTGGAGACCATCTGGCTTGGGAAGAGGTAGGAGGGAAACCTGTTGATACCTGCAGGTGAGGATAGTGGGAGATAGGCAGCTGAAGATGTTGCCAGGGTTTCTTCTTCACACGAGTTGGGGGATAGGGCAGAGGGAGTACCTGGGAGCTTTGGGGAGGAAAGAAGGGTCCCTAATAAGGACACGGAGGCATCTCATCTCCTACAACAAGGAAACCAATAAAGAGACACCCCACCCCCAATGTCTTCTGTCACAGCCAAGCCTTAATCTTGAGGCCGAGATGGCTTTGGAGCAGGAGCTCAGCCCAAGGATGTAAATGGATATCAAGTGCCCTTGGAAGCGCCAGGCGATCTGTCAGGATGAACCACTAGAAGGTTTTGTCTGATCCAGTGAGAGAGGGATTGGCCTCGTTCAGCGAGGCCCCAGCAGACATGGCCAGCAGGCACGTGTAGGAGATGCAGAGAGGCCTTTTCAGACTTGGGGCCACGGAAGGCTTCCCAACAATTTGAGAGATCCCAAGGGCAGAATCTGCCTTTGTTCTTGTTTGTCCTTTGTTTTTGAAGAAGGCCAATGACATCACAGGGTGAGGTCTTGCCTCATGCATGAATTGGATTGAAGTGAGGCAGAGCTGTGCAAAGTCACCAGCCTCATTCTCTTCTAGAGTCATTGGGGTCCAGTGGAAGGACAAAAGTCAGGATGACTGGTGATGAGATGGCCTGGGGTGCTCTGGGTGACCTTGGCCTTTCCAAATTGAGTTCTTTCCCAAGCCTCAGTCCACCACCCGCCCCTGACCTGGAGGTCTTTGAGCTGAGGAGGCCAGGTAGCCGCTGCAGAAGCAACTCTGAAGATCTGCATTGACTTGCTGAAATCCTAACTAAGAAAATCAAGACTTCAGGTCTTTCCATCCCTTTGGTAGAAGATTTGAGACAAAGAGGAGGAGCCCAAACCCTCTCTCTTTATGACAGATCGTTCCCCAAAGAAAGCCTTCCCCAAAAGCAAGTTGAGGAAGGTCAGGAGACATTAGTACAACTATCCAGAGAACTGGAATGCTTCAGCTACAGGTCACCATAGTAACAGAACTCAGGAAGCAACTAGGACTTCTGGGAAAGAGTCTAGTGAGCCAACCTTATGGGCTTAGACATCCATCCCCAAAAGGGAAAAGTGGAATGGATCTCCCCGAGAGGTGATGAGTTCCCCATCATTGGAAAGGCTCCAAGCAGAGGCGGGGCAGCTACTCATCAGGCGTATTGTAGAGCACAAGGTCTGCTGCCTGGTCAGGCCAAGCAGGAAAGGGGTCCAGCAACAGGTTGTAAAGCTGTGATAGGAGGACCAGCCAAGCTAAATTTCAAAGAGGTCTAGCCCCATGTCAGCCAGAGGGAAATGAGCTTTTCAGCCACTACTACCCTGGAAGGTCCTCCAGTAGGTTGTAGAGGGGCAATGATGCATGAGCCTCACAATGGTACAGGATGCTCTGGGCACTTAGCCCTTCCACCCTAGTCCCCCTAGAGAATGTGACACTGGATGGTCATTGACTTGAGAGAAACACAAGGAAGCATCTGGCTCACTGTAACTTTTAGTATGCTAGAGTGCCGTCTTCAAGATGCTGGGATCTTTCCATCCTAAAGGAGAGTGAGATAGCCTAGGGTCATAGCTCTAGAGCTGGAAGGGACCTCAGAGACCATGTAATCCAATCCCTTCCCTTTATAGAGGAGGAAACAGGCTCAGGGAGGGAAAAAAAAACATGATCAAGACCACACAGGTCATAAATGGCAGAGGAGACCTTTCAACTCATGCCCTTTGACCCCATTTGCAGCATTCTTTCCATTGCGCTATCGATGGGATACCCCTTGTTAGAGGTTTAGGAGCAGCACCAATATGACCCCTTGTTAGATATTCACTAGAAGGGAATTATGCAGCTTTAGGTCAGCCAAGGTGGCGACTAAGCCCCTTCTAACTTCTAACAGAAATGAATTCTCTGAGGGAGATCTGCCTGGGTCTGAGCAGCAGCACATGCCCCAGTCTGTGTCCCATTGGAGGATGGCTCTTCCCAGCACTCCTGATGGTCAGCTCTCCCTGGAAGCCAGGAGCAGACAATAGGGAGATGTACACACCATGGAAAATGTAAAGTGGAATCTTTCCTGAGGCCAGAGGTGGCAGCCCTCTG